GGAAGTGTAATCAATGCTTTAAAATGTGCCAGTTTCAGTTTTAGTTCTTTGTGTTATCTAAATCTCAGGAGATGTTTGCAGCAATTTGTCTTCAATCTCTGGACTTTAAACACTGGATGGTGACACATGCCCTAGCCTCAAATAAGCTGTCACTGAATTCTCTGTACACACAAACTCATTTTAAACATGAACCATTTATTTACTTGTTTCTTTGTTCCTTGTCAGTTTTTAAGCATGTCCTGACCAACTTCTCTTTTCTTCTTCCTCCTCTGTTATTATCTGTAACCCAAAACTCAGACAGAGGTCATCCGTCCTTCCTCTGTCATGTTAACAGCATCCTGTCACAGGTCTTAAGGCATTTTCACTTTTTGTCATACTCAACAACCCCCACAGAGTAGGAGTGTGAGTCCAGTAGGTCTAAGAGCCACTGATCAGCCTCTGCATTAACACTGAGCTCACTAGACTCCAGCTCAAAGAGACATGTCCTCTTGTTACACTGGAAACTGAGATGTGTGTGTGTGTGTGTGTGTGTGTGTGTGTGTGTGTGTGTGTGTGTGTGTGTGTGTGTGTGTGTGTGTGTGTGTGTGTGTGTGTGTGTGTGTGTGTGTGTGTGTGTGTGTGTGTGTGTGTGTGTGTGTGTGTGTGTGTGCGTGCGCACATTCATTAAAAGTGAATATCTCCTGTCCTATTTATGCCATGTGTTGTTGCAGCACCATGGATCTCTAAAACCCGTGTGTTGTTCTCAGTGGCCACAGCAGCCCGGTAAGAATATTCACGGAAATCTACTCAAAGTGAAACACACTCGAACAAAAACGTCCCTTTCCCAGCGTTCTGTCGCGTCTGTCCCTGTCGAGCCCCAGGCTTCACTACGCTACACACAGTCTGATTGAATTACTCTCGCTTGGCGCAGTTATCTATTGAATCAGCTTCCCTGAACACCATGGCTGAATGTTCCTCTCTAGGCAAGATCCCAAACAAGATGCATGAGGTTAGGCATTCATGGCCTGTTGCCATTTCTTTGTCCTGTTACATCTCTGACAGCCAGAGAATAAACCTAAAGTTTGCACCTTCTTGGCTTTCCTTTGTAGCTTGAAAAACTGTGAATCTGAGGAGCGTTTCTGTTTCACCTCTGCTTTATATTGTTTTGCTTTTGTGCTGCTTGCATGAGCGTGTGAGCAAACATCTGCTGGTGACACATCTGTAACTCAGGTTGGAATTGAGACCTGTTCTCACCAGCTAGACAAAAGAAGGCTTTTGGACTGAGCTGAATGTAACTGATCAGTTACAGAGACCCTTAGTTCCCTTGAAACATGCACCGTAAAACTCACAATTGTAGACTTTAAAGAAACCCTACCATGCATGTTTTAAAGGTGTGGTCCACTGAAAAAAACACTTTTTAAATGATTTATTTCTGATTATAATCAGTCACTCTGAGTTTTTCATGCAGGCTGAACATGAAAACAGTCTCATATACCTATCTCCTGCATTACCTTCTGATAGAAAATAGATGGTGAAACGCTAGGATTTAAAAAGCCCGACAAATCTATGTCACACTATCACTTAACTCATTCACTGCCATTGACGACTAAAGTCGTCATTTACTTTTTTTACTGTGTGGGCGTCGGAACGAGCCCCTGCACCAAGAGAACAAACATCTCAGCTCTAAAGCTGATCATCATCCGCATACGTCACACGTCATGTGATCAGGAAGCAGAACATCCATGTGTTAGGAGATCGTTTTGGGCCGCTGCTGTAAAAAAAGTGAGGCGCGAACCGGAAAAGCTTCTGCCGATCACAATTCAACAACGGATTATGAAAGAACGGATAACGCTCCAAACGCGCGGATTCTTTCTGATGTAAGAGGTGAGTCTCCTCTTTGTTTTGGTTGTTTTGGCGTCGACATCATCCTAGCGCGCAACGTTCTGTGACTCTTAAAAAAACAGTAAAAATGGTGAGAAACGCTGGCAGTGATGGGCTTTAGTGATTAGGAAACGGCTGGCAGCGAATGAGTTAACATTCATGGACTCACCCATCTTGGCTCACGACAGGGAAGGCTGTTGTTGGTTTGGCGTCCAGGAAACAGCAGTGAACGTCTTGGTTAGTAGAAGCTAACCATTAGCATCAGCAACTTCACCACACAGCAGAACTCCACACAGGAACCAAGACACCAGATCCTGCTGTCTGAAGCTCAACTCTGGTGTGGCTCACTTCTAGTTCCTGAAAATGGTGCACCAAAATTTTTTTCTCCAGAGTGCGGCTTTCAAGGCATTCGTTCCTACTAGAGATCACTGCAAATGTATAGATTAAAGGATTGAACCACATCTTTAAATGCAAGGTTTAAGATTCCTGTTTTTAAAAAGACCAGTGTGTTGCCGTGCAACAGAAGGAGGATTTTGTTATGTGAGATATTTGCTTTATTTATTGTCATGTGAATGCTTAGTGTATGTGTGGGGCTTTCAGATGCAGTGTGTGACATAATGTGCGTGATGGCATATGAGAGAGACACTGGTTAGCTGGAGAAGTGAAGCTGGAACATTAGCGGCGTCTGGGTCTCAGTTGGAGTAAAACTGAGTTTGATGAACTTGGCTGTGTTGCTCCATTTCATGAATTTATAAAACCAAAAAAAAAAAAAATATATATATATATATATAACACTATGTTAGCTTAGAAACCTAGACCAACCGTGCGGGTTGTATATGTTTACATAATAGGACTGTGTGCCAGGCTAATGTGTATGACAATAATAAGAGCATACTCACTCACTTTACTGTAAAGATTTGTGAAACTGCTTTTTAAATTTTATTGCTTCCCTTTTGTAATCTGTGACTGAGTACTTCTAACACGAAAATAACAACAAAATAAAACTAATAGATGCACTCATCTCTTTTCATTCCAACCACAAAGGTCAGAGTGGAGCCTTTTACTCACTGAGTGCATTAAGTCATTATAAGAAGGGGAAGTACCAACCCATGTCCAGAGAATTGAATTGATTTGATTTTGTTGTTGTTTTTAGTCCTAAAGGAATGATGCTTGTTTAAAAATATGAAAGTTCAAACAAATAACGTAAAAAGAAGGTGGTTTTTGTTGGGTTTGAAAACGTATTCTTGAACAAATGATAGCATAAGCGGCGTTATGCTTTTAAGCACCGAGGTTTGTGTTCATTTTTTCTGAAGGACGTTTAAGATGAAGACAGATTTAGAACGTATAGATTGAAGCCTTTTTTTTTATCTATTTAATCAAACAACCTAAAACGAGGCCATCGTGGTTCTGAAGATGGAACAGCTGAGGCTTAAGTGAAGAGGGAGTTCCTTTGTTAATCTGCTAACTTGCTACAAGCTTAGCCTATTCAAGCATTCAGTTAGCCTAGCATAATAACTGCCATGCTATGCTGGTTAAATTATGTAAATAAAATTATTTTTATAATTTTCTCTAGCTGAAGCACTAGTTTTCACACATTTACTAAGTAGTGATCATGTTGGCCTAAAACGCGGGTTTTATTTATTTATCTATTTATCAGCAGGTACACCTGTTCTCTGTGAATCGATGAGTGATGTTTGAGATGCAGCAGATATGCTGATTATTAGCTTTCTGGCTTAAACCGAATTCATCCATTCTAAATTTATCAAGCCAGTCTTGTGCTTAGTCTGTCTTTTCAGATTACAGGAAGTAATTAGATTGTGGTTTACGTCTTCGGCTGAGCGTCAGAGGGAAATGAGTCAGTTTTATGTGGTAAAATAAATTAGAGAAAAATGGTAAATGGCCTGCATTTCATATAACGGCCTTCTAGAGTCCTGGAACCCCCCCAAGGCACTTTACAACACAATCAGTCATTCACCCGTTCACACAAGCATTCACACCCTGGTGGTGATGAGCTACATTGTAGCCACAGCTGTCTTTGGGCGCACTGACAAGGCAAGTCCGCCGGCACCACCGGTCCCTCCGACCACCACCAGCAGGCAAGGTGGGTTAAGTGTCTTGCCCAAGGACACAACAACAGCGACAGACTGAGCGGGGCTCAAACCTGCAACCTTCTGGTTACGAGGCGAGCTCTTAACTCCTGTGCCACCGTCGCTCCATGCAGATAAAAAAACTGCAGCTAATTAGTTGAGTCTTTAATCATCTCTGACTAAAGTGCTGCGTATTTAACACCAATGTGGTTTACTTTGCAAAAACTATAAAGTTTCTCTACACAAGAGTGTGTCTCCTGTTTCAGAATCAGAAGGGTGTTATTGCCATAAAAGCTATAAATCACAACACTGGGAAATTTTTGCTGTATTTGGTGCAAAAAAGCAAAATAGAATAGACTTTATTGATCCCAGTGGGGAAATTCACTTGTTACAGCAGCACTGTTGGACCAATAAAGTAGAAAAAAAAGAGCAAAAATAGGAAGTAAGAATATTTAAGCATTTAATTTTTCTTGGCGTCTGGAACAACATCTCCATCTGCCCCCCTTTATTTTGGTCCAAGATCATTACTGGGCTGGCCCTGTTAAACACCTTCTACACCCCTGCTTAGTAGACCTAATGAAGTATTTTTAAGCCAGTATAAAAATGACTGAAACACAAATGTACATATTTGGCATTATTGACCAATATCTTTGATTTAAAAATAAAAACCTGGCGCCACGCCTGTTATAAACCTCTGCAAATTGTTGTTCTTCACTTTTTCAAACTCAGAGTTTGTAATGTCAAGATGTAAAATTATGAATTCAGTCGAGCTCTTCCCTCGCTCTGCTGTTTCTCCTTGAAACCCGACATCGGCTGTCGGGTTTCAAGGAGAAACAGCAGAGCGAGGGGAAGAAGGAGATGAGGCAAACAGAGTGAGTGCGAGAAACCAGACTGGTGTGGAGGAGAGCAAAACGGCTGGAAAAGTGTGGCTGTTGAATCCCCCACATCCCCCATGCCTGCCTCCTCCCCCTTGCTGCCTGCCGGCTGTGATCACAAGCAACAACAGAGTAGTTCCCGCTGCTTCTTTGGGGAAACAGCACAAAAAAATAAATAAATACAATAAAATAAAATAAAACTTGGGATCTTGTAGGCGTGGCACTGGGATTTCAGCTGTGGTGGGCCACCACGGCTACGTCTATGTAAGGGAAGCGCTGCTGTCTTCTTGCCCAAGGTTATGTTTTGGTGAACATGCTTAATGATTTACAAACGCCACAAGAGGCATCTTTACATGTGGAGATGTCTGTCTGACAGCAGCAACATAGCAGAGGAAACAGGAAAGGCCTGAGCAGCTTGGTGTTAGGACGGATATCCTCTTTTGGAGGCGTTCCCCTCCTCTCTCACTTAACTCTCCCTCCCTTTATCTCTTTTTATCATATGCCCCCACCATCCCAACCAGAGCATATTGGCAGGACATGGTATTATTGCCTGAGCTCAGAAGCAAACCAGATATTTCTGTTCTCCTGTAGCTTTTTGGAGTGGTCAGATCTGAGTCCATTATGTGTTGGCATGGGGACGAGGAGGATGAGGACGGCTTGGAGGTGAGGCGTAGCGGCTTGTTTGTCATAGTGGCTGAGTGATGCTGACAGGAGGAGGTCTCTGGTCTGGATTTATTTGAGCTTCAATAACAACGAACCGTCATGGGATCCATGTTTCAGTGAGCTGGGACAGTTGTAAATGTTCACTTAGAATGAGATGATTGTTCAGTAGAACATGACTCGGTCATGAGAATCAGAGTTTAGAGTTGGTCTGAAGTTGAACTCCTGTGACTCATCTGCCGAGGCAGAAAAACAACATCCCATCATTACTGTTGAATTTCAGCTCTGTTTGTGAATTATTTTGATCTAGTATGCTGGTTTTATCTGAATATTTGTTCTGCAGCATCATTGTCTCATTCATTCTTTTTATATTTTTCCCGTTTTCTTTTTCCTCCACCTTTAGCGTTTTCCTGTGCTACCCCCATCCCGACCATCTCTCGCTGTTTTTCCCCTCATTATCGCCTTATCTTACTCTTTCCTTTTCCTCCTCCTCGCTCTAAGCGCCACACATTACCAGACCGAGGAGGAGGAGGAGTTCTATGGATTTATTTGAAGTAGAGGATCTACTTGTTTGTTTCTAACTTCTGACCACTTTGTCATTTTTTTTTTATTCCTCCAGAGCGACCCAGACGGGCTTTCAGTTCTGGAGCAGCTCGGTTTGGACCAGAACTCCGATTTCTCAGACTCGAGTGTTCAGCAGGTTCTGGATGAACAACGAGAAAAAATCCGCCGGGAGATCCGCAAGGAGCTGAAGATCAAGGAGGGAGCTGAGAATCTTCGAAGAGCGACGACTGACAAGAGGAATGCTCAGCAGGTGAGCACATCTTCATCCACCAGAGCCCATCAGAGTCCAACAAAAACAAACAAAACCTCATGTTGCGACTGTTTAAAAAGCAATCAGGAAGAGACTTCATGGTAATCTCTCTGTTAAAACCTTTGTTACACAAAGCATGAGCTAATGGAAGTAACGCGACATCAAGCTGCAAGATAAGGTTTTCTTTTCCGATCTTAATGGAACCAGGAAACCAGTATGGTGATTACAAAGAAAACGTTCCTGTGCCTGAACTAAATTTGTTTGGGGGTAGGAACCTTGAGCCGTGTCTCTGCTAAAGTTCGACCGATATTAGTTTTTTTTTATTGCCAATTCCGATGTGTAGGAGACTTGATCAACCAGTGGTGGCCAATATGTCATGCAGATTTTTGTTGGGCCCATTTTAATGGCCGACATAGACTTGCTTGCAAAACTGTAAATGGTCTGTATTTGTGTAGCACCTTCTTGCGTTCTACAACCCCCCAGGGTGCTTCACAACACAGTCATTCACCCATTCACAAACTGGTGGGGTTGAGCTATGATGTAGCCATAGCTGCCCTGGCGCACACTGGTGCCACCGGTCCTTCTGACCACCTCCAGCAGGCAAAGCGGGTCAAGTGTCTTGCCCAAGGACACACCAGCAGCATTCTCTGCCTGGAGTCGAGATCAATCCTACACCCCTCTGATTACCGGACAACCCGCTCTACCTCCTGAGCTACTGCCGTCATTAATAGCATCAGTCGATGCACAAAATGTCGGCTGTGGTTGGGACAATTATTACATTAACTGATAGATAGTTTATAAATAAGGTAGAAATAGATAGAAATAAGTTCCTCACACTGATAACTAATAACTAATCTCTCTGAGGACACGGTGCTAGTGCACGCTCCTACAGCACATTGGCACGACTAAATAAATGTTATACAACATTTTATGAACATCAATTTATTTGCATGTATTTATTATAAATGCCACTGTATAATTCTTGCTGTCAGTATTTGCAAGATATTGGTATTTGGGTCTGTCCTGGTTAGACTTAAATGAGTTAAACCAAGGTCTATAGCCCTTGGGTCATAGACTATGAGCTATAAGTATATTGGTCTTTTTATACTGGGAACCAGGAGTTATTTTAGTGATCATCTTGTTTCTTATTTATTTTTGTCCTGATTGTGCCCTGAGCAGTTTTATGACAGAATAAAAACAAATAAAATCAACATAAATTGAAAAATCGTCTTAAATAATCGAGATCTCAATTTCAGTCACAATAATCGTGATTATTATTTTTGCCGTAATTGAGCAGCCCCACTTCCTGGTATGTCTCCGCTTCACCTGGCTGGCTGAACGGGCCATTTTCAGGAACCAGTGTGTTCCCTGAGCAGGGGAAAGGCCCGGCAGAGTTGCTGAGCAGAACTTTTAGTTAACGCACGCCGATTGGTTGTAACTCAGTAGGAAATGACATTAGCAGACGTCGTCCAAAACCACTGGCATTAGTAGAATTAGAAGAGTTGCTTGTGAACCAGAATAGAAGCAAATAAGCTTTGTTCACGCTTTTTAACAAAAGATGCTGTTATTAAACTCCCAAAACTGAATAAACGAAGCAGAAATCCCCCCGACGACGTAGTTCACGGTGCTTTGTTGTCTCACAGAAGGCTATAAAAAACACCGCTTCTTCTGGTTATTGAACTCCACATTTGACATCACACAGCAGCTCTCCCGGCTCTCCAAATTCATTAAATTGCCATCCTTCAACCGAATAATACTTGTTACTACCGTGGATGCTTTTTGGTGCTGGTCAGTGACATCACTCACTGCCAAAGCAGTCGCGATGTGCTGACGTCCTAACAAAGTCCTGAAGTGGCTTATTTTGTATGGGGACCCAGCAGCTGAGAGGACCGGGCCATCGGATCTCCCGGTCGACTCCCCCCATCCCATAATTTCCCTGAAGTTCCTATAATGGGATCACGCCTTTAGGAATTCTTAGGTTCTCTCCTACAAATTAAAAGTAGCCTGACTGGTGTGTTCATCCTAATAAATTAATGTTACCACCTACATCTCCCCACTCACTCGATTGTTAGAGCAACAAATCAGCAAAATTTCAAGTTTTGTTTCTCTCTCCTTCCTGATTTTAATCCCTTATAACTTATCAGCAAATGTTTTAGAACTGCGCTGCTCTGGGCGGCTGCATGTTGGAGTAGCTCTGTTGACTATATGGACGTTTTGCCTTTTCTTGGGCATTTTTCTTCTAGTTTCTCAAGAAAAACTGTATTTTTTGGACATTTTACTTTTCTGTTTCTGGTGCTGTGAAGCTTGGAGGATTTTTACTGCTATTTTTTTAGCTTTTTTCACTTTTTGAGCATTTGTTATGATGCATAACCATGGCAACGAGCTGGTTTACAATCGGGAGCAGCTGATTAACATGGGAAAGGCTGAAATAATACCTCAACTGAAGCCACAAATCCCAAATGAGCTAAAACGCAAGAAGCGTGGGTGCAGAGCGGGAGCAAAACGGAGACGGAGAAAGAGGAAATTCAAACCATCTCTTCCAACGATCATAATGGGCGATGTGAGATCACTGGCCAACAAGACAGAGGAACTCCAAGCCCTTTCAAGGACTCCGCCAGAGTTTCGGCAGTTGTGGAACCGCTGGAGGAGATGATGCAGAGAAGGATTCTCCAGAGAATCAAGAAAATGATGGACAACCCTGAGCATTCTCTTCACAAGACTGTCCGACAACGGAAGAGTGTCTTCAGTCAGAGGCTTCTTCAGTTTGGCTGCAACACTGACCGCTACTGGAGATCCTTCCTGCCAACAGCCATTGTAATATACAACAACTCTTTGATGACCTGATTATTATTATTATTCTGAGCTACTACAGCAATCAATTTCCCTCTGGGATTAATAAAGTATTTTTGAATTGAATTGAATTGTGATGCCAGCTTTTATTATGCTCTAACTATAATGTTTCACAATAAGACAATCCTAGTTTAAACCAACAGGCAGGTGTTTTGCTTTAATGAGTTCCAGGTCTATAATTTACCATATTATTCACGTCACATACCTGTTTCCTTGCTTTTTGTCTTGCCCTTATGTCCTCATGGACATAGTGTTGCTCAGGAAGACATGGAGAGTAGTGTAATGTTTGCGTGTTTGTCTCAGGTGGACAGCCAGCTGCGCTCCTCAAACCGACGACTAGATGACCTGCACGCTCAGCTGCAGGAGCTGGATGCTCACATTGTGGTGAAGGGAGGCGAGGAGAGTAAAGGTATACAGACGTCAACACCACTGCACACACTTTCCTTTTGTTTTCTCGTCAGCCATCCTGAATTCCTGCTTCCCTGAAGGCTGCTTGACTGGAGCACCAGTGATGCAACCAATAAAGGACAGACCTGTTCATGTTGTAAAAACTTTAACGTTTGATTTTGAAATACCTCTTTATTCAGTTTTTTAGTTAGCAACTTTCTTCTGCCCCCTGCAGCTGTTTTCCAGCTAGTTCTGGATAAATCGCAGCATCTGTGGTGTTTTTACTGAGAAATGGATAACTTTGATTTGTCAGTTATTATTAGTAGTTAGAAAAAGTAACTTGCAGGGAGCACAAAATTTTACTTATACTTTGAATTATGTTTGATTCTGGCTCCTTGACTGCCCCAGTTTCATTTGATGGGGAGTTAGGGGTAGGATCATTTTGGTTTGGGTTTATCTTAAAGTAGATTTTCAGCGCATTTGCTAACAGGACTTTTTATTTTTTCATACTTGAGCCTAATTTGCTGTGGAGGATCTTGACTGCTGCAGTTTGGCACCAGCTCCCTGTGACCTCATTCAGGACAAAGTGGTCCAGATAATGGATGGATGGATATTTTTCTGTTTATTTATTTGGCCGACGTATTTTATTCTAAAGCAGCTTAAACTGAGGATGTAAAAATGCAGTCAGTTAACCGGAGGGAGCACTCAGGTAAAGCATAGAGGCCACAGCCGGGGTTCAAACAACGTGCTTTTCTGTGCAAGCGTTATGAACAATAATGTCCCTTTTGTTGTAGATTGCTCCTCGAATTGCCCCTCGGGGACTAATAAAGTTGTCTTGAGTCTTGAGTCTTTAAACGGCCTCAGCTTGAGAAACAAAATTAGATCCGACTCGATTGATAAGCTAACGGTTAGTCACAGAAGTGTCCTACTTCTGCTGTCTTACAGCAACTCGTGATTTACTGATGCAGACTCGACTCCATAACCCTTTATACAGGGTATCCGGGGGTCCTTGAAAAGTCTTAAATTTGCTTTTCCAAATTTAAGGCCTTAAAAATCCTTAAAAATTACAAATAATCCTTAAATACAGTTTCCAAAGGTCTTAAATTACCAAAGACCCAATAAACAAGATTCTTTCATTTCTATAACATTTTCGTGAATTTCTAGTTAGTGTTCAGCATTTTTTTTTGTGTCTGTTGTTGGCGTAAGCGGAACCGTACACATTCAGTTGGTTGTGAAAGGGGGCTATTTTTGGATAAGCACATTAGCTGGTTAAGCTAGTGGGAGCTTGCGCCATGGGGAAGTGCAAGTTTAATGGTAACTGGATGGCTAATCCCACGTTCGCGACGTGGTTAGCACCGGTTCCAGGCAATAGCTGGAAATTATAGCTTAAATGTAATTTTTAAAATAGCTTAAATTTGGTCAAAGTGGCCTTAAAAAAGGTCTTAAAAAGTCTTAAATTTGGCTCCCTTAAACCTGCAGATACCCTGTTTATACTAGCATAGGTGTGATAAAACAGTTAGTTGTATGAAACTCTAGTTATCTGAGGCTTAAATTAGCCTCAAAGTTAGCTATCTGTAGCTGCATTTGCAGCTTAGTATGTAACTCTTCCATTTTCTATTTAAAAGTGTTTCTCGTGAATTAACAGGATAACTAACTGCAACAGAATTTTTTTTTTAAGAAAATGGTAATCGTCTTTGGTCACTGCACAAATTTGACCCAGGTGTCTTCTTCTCAATCCAGTCAGAAATATTTGTTTCTCCTTTCTGAGCTTTTTCAAAGCACCGTCTACAACAAGTGAGATTCTGTTCACAACACTTTCACAGAATCCTACTTCCAAGGATGTCAACTATCTCATTAAAGGGACACTAAATAGGTTTTCCGCTTCTCATACTGGTTGAAAGTGAAATTACAACGGTCGTAAACAACCCTGTTGCAGCCTGCTGTAGCTAGTGCTAACAATGCTAACACAAGCTAACTGATACTAAATAAGCTACAAGCGACCTGCACCGTAAACAGCTACTGCTATAAAGCTGATTGAGACCTCCCACTAGTGTACCTACTCAAAACACAAAACTGTTAAGTGCAGTTTCTGGTCAGCAGAGGACTACAGAGTGCTGTCCAGAGTGGGAAGTTGCTCAATTTTATGGGTCAAGAACCACCAAAACCATAGAAATAGCTCAAAGTGCAAAAACTCTTTAGAGTTGAACAGATCTTATCTTTTCTTCATCGTGCGTTCTAGTTATTTTTCTTTATTGAAATTCCTCGCAGAACTGGGCCATTAAAGGTAAAAAAAGACCTAATCTGGTCCAAAGAGCCATTCTTTACAGCATCATTAAGAGCTGCTGTTGCATTCTGGGAGCACAGCAGTATTATTAGATGCTACATGAAGTCCCTGTTCAGCGTGTTCCTTTTTAGCTCACCATGTGAACCACCAGCTTCTGTCGTCTCAAACCTTCCCTTCTGTCTACAGATGAGTGTCCTCAGTCTCCGGGGGCCGACTGTCGCACGTCAGCGCACAGTGAGCGCATCGCCGCCCTGGAGAGGCAGCTCAATATTGAACTCAAAGTCAAACAGGGAGTCGAGAACATGATCCCCATCTATGCCAATGGATCCACCAAGGTAGAGGAGTGTTTCCTAACACACACACTTTTACACTGGAGAAAAGCTCAGCAGGACCAGTTAGATGGACAGAACAGTGTTAAATTCAGGAGAACAAAGGATGCATGTGTTCCACCCCTCCCCCAGGTGAATGATAACTGCGTGTTGGATAGGGATGGGTACCTTTGACATTTTAATCGATTCGGTACTTAACGGTACCAATTTTCGATACTTTTGAGTGTTTATTATTTTAATTCTCTTTTATAATTAAATATATATTTTTCTCAATATATAACAATGTTTGATAAATATCACGATAAATAACATACAACTGTTTGTATTTTAACATCGTCCTTGTAGTTTTATAAGTTGATAATTAAACTGAAGCAAACATCTTTACTGTGAACTAAATTTACTGTGTCTTCATTCCTTTTACCGTCCTTTTTCATTTGATTTTTCCTACTGGGAAGTTAGAATTTCCGAGGAGAAAGCGAACGCACCATTAGCTGATAACAATGGTAGCAATGGAAGCTAACATACCAAGCTAACGTTATCTTAAACAGTTTATTTAGCTGCTGGAGCAGATTAAAACGATGATGCCTCACACTTAGATCGTTGTCGCTGGTTTCATCTTCACCCAATCCTCCGTCACATTTAGTAAAGTGAAGCCAAACTTTAGAGCGCGTTCGTGTTCTTCTAGTCGGGATTTCGGAGTTCCGAGGAGAAAGCGAACGCACCATTAGCAAAACGGAAGCTAACATATCAAGCTAACATTATCTTAAACATTTTATTTACCTACCGGAGCAGATTAAGATGAGGATGTCTCACTTAGATCGTTGTCGCTGGTTTCATCATCACCCAGTTACCCATCACATTTCGTGAAGTGGACCCAAGCGTTAGCGTGCGTTCTTTCTACCATGCTGCTCTGTTTACAACTGGCTCGCAGCGACCGACGACATAACGCTCTTGCGCATGCACAGCTGTCTTGGCAAGTTCTTGTTATGAAGGACGGGTACCGAAACGAGGCACCGTTTGAAATTACGTGAATCGGTGCTCGGTCGGTACTGCGGAATTCGGTCGGTACCTTAAAAAGTACCGAATTCGGTACCCATCCCTAGTGTTGGATCAGTGCTGATTCTCTGGTATTCTCTTTATGTATATAAAACTTAAATCCCCTCCACTTGTTCATGTCGTCTTAATTTAGCACGTCACCTTTATCATGCAGCTTTGGTTACGCCCATACCTCTACTTCACTCGCTGCTGCACCATTTATAGGCCTGAAACAAACGCAACGGCAGCCAACCAAGAAAACAGCAAGTGTCTTTGCTTTTGAGTGCCACTTCAGTTTTCGTCAACCCCGTTAAGAAGTTATTTAACATAAATCATCTTCTAACCCTGCTTTATGACCTTTTGTGCCACGTGACTTGATTCTTGTTTTGTTCCTGTTTACGCAGGATAAGAAAATGCTGCAGACTGCCCAGCAGATGCTGCAGGACAGCAAGACCAAGATCGATATCATCCGGATGCAAATACGCAAGGCCGTTCAGGCCACCGAGCACACGGAGGACACGCAGGGTGAGTGTTCAGGGAGGAGACGGGGCTGAATCCACCTGGCCTCGTTTATAAACTGTCAAGCACCAAACCAGACAGCAGGTTGATCAGGAGTTCCCAAACAATTATTGTTGTGGTTTTACCTGATAAGTTCATTTTCACCATTGATACTAGATAGTTGTGATTTCTGATTAGGCATAAACGGTCGTCCTGTAGCGTGTCAGCTGGGAAAGAGTGATGAAACACAGTTTCTAACGTGAAAGTAAGTGTGAAGGAGGCAGATTTACATTCAAGATGAACACCATCTTTGTAGAGGGCTCTCATGGCTTCAGCGCCTTTTTCATGCCAGAGTAGGACTTTGAGCACAAGTGCTACAAACAAATCAGTATTAACTTCTTTGGCATTAAGGTTATTAATCTTAGCAGTAAATCACATGAATACTGTATAGAAAAACCACATCATTGGAGTTTTAAAAGCAACCAGGATGTAAAGTAAACTTTTGGATCAAGTGTTGGATACTCGTTAGCTGGCAGAGACAGGAGGCTTCTTGTTTTATACCCGTTTTATCTTCCATCTGATCTGCAGCGAGGCTTTCTTCTGTCCTGTGTTTAAGTCCTGAGCAGCAGCTCCATGCTGCAGACACACTCATCAGTGAGGGGCCTGCTTGGTGTCCTCACATGACCCTTGTCTGGGACGAGGGGCCAGAGATGAAGAGGATTGTTCAGTTTGATACACAGCAGTGTGTGTGAGTGTGCGTGTGCGTGTGTGCGTGTGTGTGTGTGTGTGTGTGCGTGTGTGTGTATGTGTGTGTGTGTGAGAGAGAGAGCAGCACAAAGCCCGTGCAGCTGCCCACCTGGCGTGCTGCTGAATGACTAATCAGATTGACCTGCTACACAAATAAACGGAACCTTTTAGTAAAACAGTAGGTGGATCAAACATATCTGAACACACACACACACACACACACACACACACACACACACACACACACACACACACACACACACACACACACACACACAGAGGCAAAGGTAGATGTGTGCATCTGAGTCCTTTCTGACAGTTGAGGGCTTTTGTTGTTCCTGTTGCAGAGCTGTGAACCCAGTGGAATATTAAAGCTCTCTAATGGAAATATGAGGAGACAGATGAGAGTCCCAGGATGTGTGTGTGTGTGTGTGTGTGTGTGTGGGGGGGGGGGGGGGGTCTTTAGACACTCAGCAGGAGAGGAGTAGAAACAGATTTTACAGACATCCCCTTTGGAGCTATCTTTGCCTTTTTACTCATGAGTGAGTGAGGGAGGGAGCTGATGGCGGTTCTAGAAGTGGGTGTGTTTTAAAGCAAAGGCCATACCTGCAGTTTGGAGGGATGGCTTAAATGTCCAGCTGTGTCCCGCTATGTTAAAACCTGCAGGTGTGTGTGTGTGCGTGTGTTGTGCAATACTTTCCATTTCTGTAAATAGACGAAAATGTCATGAACAGACATGTGAGTAACGTACAGTGCTCTACATTTCTGTTATTCTACACCTTCTTGCACATCTGGAATCTTCTTCCTATTAAAAACCTTAAAGTGTGACCCAACCGTCTGATTAAGAATCAAACGCTGCAAGAGGAAACTCCTCGTTGTTTCCCAAGCAGGGTGCATTCATGCTATGCTGCTTAGTGTTGGGTTCATGGGACATGTTTTGGTATTAAAGGAGTCCGTGTTGGTCTGGGAGAAAAAAACAAACAATCTAGCTTGACTTTTACCAGCCTCCTTCCATGGTCCTTGTCGTATAGGTATGTAAAGATGGCCTTTCTTCTGGTGTTGAAAATTGAAGCCATGATATTCTGTATATGAGCACAGCCATTTATTTCTCTCAATCAAAACAAGGTCTGGTTTTTTTTACGTAGAGTTGGCAAATGACGTGGAACCAGACCCTAGGGATCACACATTTGCTCCAGCTTCAACTCCCTGGTTCTAGTTTATATTCATATGATCGATTATCCATGACCACTTCAGTGGTGGCTGTGCTGTATCACACACCCACTGTTATTTTTACAGAAATGATCCATTTTTGCATGATAAAATGTGTCTTATGGTGACATAAATGTTATGACCTTGCGTGTTTACATTCTCTAGTAAAAGGTGTGTACACACATGACAATGTTCACACCTTTTTCAGCAACATATCATCCAGATGATTAGCTGGAAGTCCCGCTCAGATCCAGCAGTGAGAGCTGAAGCTCGACCGTGCTAGAGACTGAACCGTTGTCTGTTGTTATGTACAGGTTACACTACTGAGAGCTGCACCTTAGCCTGGCTCTGCTGCATTAACCCCTAGGTGCACTTTGAAAATGACTGATGCAGGCTACAGTTCTGAAGTTGATGGGCTGTTATATTGTGCTGCTGCACTTAGGTTGTATTTTTTACTGCTTTTAACAACAATTTGAAGTACTTTGTCAAATAGGACCTCTTTGTGTTTGTGTGAGTGGTTGGCGAGTAGGGTTGTCACGATGTGAAAATTTAACCTCACGGTTATTGTGACCAAAATCACCACGGTTTTCGGTTTTATCGCTGTATTTTTTTCAAACGTGCTACATTTTCACACAATTAAATAAACCCTGTATGTCAGGAAACATTGTCCTCAATTTGTGTCTAAATTTGGCCTAAAATGTGTTATTTTGTAATTATGTTGTTTATTTGTTTACATTTTCCCCTTTAGTCTTTAAAATACCAACATTTGCCCATAACTTCTTATTTTTTTCTGTTTGATGTCATCATTTTAAAAATATTAGATCAGATGATACTCAGTACTCAAGTAGCCTTCTAATCAGATACTTTTTACCCTTACTTGAGTAATAAACCCTATATCAGGAAAATATTGTCCTCGGTTTGTGTCCTTCCAGTGAGCTTTGCAGATGTGGGAAAATGTCATCAGGCAGTAATCGTTGTTAAATTCATAATTATTCTCGGAGAGAGACCAACTCTTAGCTGCCCCTGGGAGCCCCGTAATGCATAGCGTCATTTCAACATGGCGGTGTCCGCGACACGGTTTATATGCAGGTAGCGGCGCTGCGGCTGCTTTATATAGCGACTCGTTGCATTCTCCCTCAACCCAAATCCTCGGATCACACATTTTAGCTAAAGCGCTAACGTTAGCTTGCCTTGCGTTGACTGTAGAGTTGTGGGTGATGGTCACGCAGATGTGTCATGAGATTTGAAGCGTTGCTGCCTTTCACAGACACTTTTTCTGCTCGTGCTGCAAACAGGATAGCCGTCTTCTATCAGCTGTCCCTCGGCATTCTTCACATATCCAAAAGATGCCCGTACTTCCCACTTTGTCTTCTTTGAGGGATAATAAATGTCCTGAGCGCTGCAGTCTCCTCCTTTGGCCATTATTTCAGCTTTAGCTTCAAGAAAGTTTGGGTTGTAAACAACAAAGTGCGCATGTGCCGCCGGCAACTTCAGCAGATGATACGGTGGCTGGTAAGGGTCACCGCGCCTACACCGCAGCCACGGTAACCCACCGAGATAATATAGTTTTTTAAAAACAAGACGGTTATTATTGTCAGCTTTTTTTACCGGGGTTTACCGCTACACCGGTTACCGTGACAACCCTATTGGCGAGAGCTTTTTATTCAGTTGTTCTTGTCATTAACACAAATGGGAACTTCCTTTAGTGTAACACCTACTTCACACTGGAAGCATCAGCAGAGCTGAGCGGTTAACTCGCGCCTTTCGGTGCATGCCAGTAAGCGCCACGAGAAGCTTCTCCGTGGTGCTCCTCGCTGGACTCGCGGATCATAAAATCCCTCGAGACTTCAAAGGTCACGGTTTGTTCATGCCATTCTTCATTAGAACAGAATAGACTTTATCGATCCCACAGTAGGGAAAGTCACTCGTTACAGCAGCACACACACACTTAGAGGTACAGGTAAACCACCAAATAGTTCCCGAGCGCGGCCACAGCTGCAGCTCCCCGCTCCCCGCGGGGATGGGTCCAATGCGGAGATGAATTCCTTCAGTGTGTGATGACTATTGGGACTTTAAACACACAAAGGCAATAAGCTATTATTGTAAACGTCACCACTAAAAACAATGAATGAAAAGGAAACTTGGATTTCCAGAACTATGCAGCATAAACCAAAAAGAAGGAAATCCTGTTTGATGTCATGTATGATGTTGTTACGCCCCACTGTTAGGATTAAAGCCATGAAAACACACCGCTGCACGTCTGGAACGATGCTGGGAGTAAATAAGCCTTTAGGTCACTTCTGTTGACGTAATTTACATAGATATGAAATTGCATCGCTGCAATACTTTTATTTTGAAAATTAGCGGGGTTTTTTACACTGAAACCGTATGGGATTTACTGTCTAGCCCTGTTAGTGTGTCCCAGAAGCGACTCGCAGCAGAAATGGAACTCGATCCTGTCTTTAGCAGCGCGGCGTGGTGAGGTGCGCCGCGTCTGGGACGCGCCTGAAAGTGTCCGCGGCGTGGCTGGTTTGACTCATCCTCATAGACTATAACGGATTCTAGTTAAAGCTGTGCCGTTCCGCCACCGACGCTCCCAGTGTGAAGCAGGCTAATGCTTTAGATTTAGTAGAAATATAAAGTCTAGTGTAAATAATTAATAAACTAGGTCCTTCGAGTCCTGCCTTATGTCCTTTCAAACAGCTTCTCTTGTTCTACCATGTTGATCGGGAATGCTCTGGAGATATAAGTCGTTGTGAACACGGTGAGAAAGTGGATACACAAAAACATACCTGGAATTTTTCTGAATAATGTTTCTGGACATGAGAGCGGTGGGGAGCTGACGTGTAGTTAAAGAAATGCAGCTGCTTCCTTTTTAAGCACCTTTCTCTCTCACCCCCCCCCCCCCCCCCCACACACACACACACACACACACACACACACACACAGGCCTGCGCAGTGTTTAGCGTACACAGATAGTCTCCAGGCGCCACACCCGGTGGAAGGGTCATCTAGCAGGGTCTGGGTTGGAGGAGCAACACCTTATTAGGAAATAAAAGCGTCCACATCATCCGTTACTTCCACCTCCACAGTTTTCCTTCAACTCTCCTCTCCTAGAAAATAAAACCGTTCTTCACCTTTTTTATTCCTTGTTTAAAGAGTCAAACTCGCCGTTTAAGGACCAACTTGTCCGGTAGCTGCCGCCCTGCTCCTCCTCTGACCAGCGAGCTCTTGTTAGTTTATCACCCGTGGTGCATTTAGGCTAAGCACTTCACCGTTAACGTGCTTTAATGGATATGGTCCGTGTGTGGCTTCGTGTTGTTTTGACTCTTGTCCTGGGACCGTCGCAGCTCGTTTTCTGCATTACTCTGACTTCCATTACCTTATCTTCACATCTCCTGGGTCAGATAAGGAATTCTGTTTGTTTTGACTCCGATTCTGCTTTGAAGTCTCCAGCAGTGTGGAACTGGACCTATGTAGCAGCTGATTTAGCTGTTAAGGCAGAGGTCCAGCAAGGGTGGAGAGATTTAAATGGGTAAAGAGTTTCAGGAGTTTATTAGTTCTGTTTGCTGTCAGTGATGTGGGGTGTCATCTTCCAGCAATCAGTGGATGGAGCTGAAATTAATGTCTGCAGTCTCCTTTCAGAAGCTGCTAATGCTTGGCTGAGGTCCGATGCACGATGCATTAAGACATTAACTTCTCATAGACGGAGGAGTTTCCTCCAACTCAACACAGAGAATCAAAACTAGAGGGCATTGAAATGCGCCCGAGTAGAGAAACCACACCGGGCAGAGGCGACTTGTGTAAAACCATCTTGTCTGATGTTTGAACGGGCAGGTAACCATGACCTGTGTGGGGTGGAGCTGCGTATCGAAGAGCTGAGGCATCACTACAGGGTGGAGCACGCAGTCGCCGAGGGGGCCAAGAATGTCCTCAGGCTCCTGGGAGCCAACAAGGTTCAGGACAAGAAGGCTCTGTCTGAGGTCAGATCACACGCTTCACAGCTTTCAGATCCACGTGTTGGTGAAGGAACCAGATCCAAACCTATTCACTCAAAAACACAAGCTTAGAGGACCTGTTAATGGGACTAACGAAGGATGTGATGTTCTGCAGGCTCAGTCTCGACTTAGCGAGGCGTCCCAGCGGCTGGACCTGCTGAGAGACTCCCTGGACCAGCGTTTAGCCGAGCTGCCAGAGGACCATCCCAAAGCCAGCGTCATCAAAGAGGAGCTGGTTTTGGCCTCCTCGCCTGCATTCAGCTCTCTTCATGGCGCCCCTTACCTGCAAAACCAGTACAGCACCCTCAACAAGCCATCTCCTCTCACAGGTGGGTTACAAAGCCTTGAGGGTAGAGTGCTGAGGGCGGACTGTGTGAAATGACCAAAATCTCATCTTGATCTAAATCATTTACGCCTGAGAATGTCGAGAAGCGGTGGAGTGCGCGTTACGTAGATTCTGGTGATTTTGGGAAGAGTTGGCTAAGCTGAGGCTAACAATAGTGCACTTCCTCTCTGTTTTTGGGTCATCGTGCACTTCCTTTTTCCATCTCAAAACAAAAGATTCAATCCTTGTTCTCAATCAGAAACACTTTATAGATATTATTCTGCTACAAGCTTAGTGTTGATGTGTCACTGCTAGATGCTGACCTCCGCCTCAGCTGGTGGAACATACCCCCTCCTGTCTCTGAAGGATGTTTAACGGTCTTGTGTTTCCCTTCAGGCACCCTGCAGGTGCAGCTGCTGGGGTGTGTTGGGCTGCTGGAGGTGGTGCCAGGTCGCAGTAAAGGGACGCCCGTCACTCTGCCCTGCTACAGCCCCGGAGACACGAAGTCCTTCATGAGGGGAAGCAAAGGATTGTACGGGCGCACCGGCTCTGTCAGCGGGAAGACCCCCAACAAGACCGACGAGCTGTCCAGTAAGCAGCTAGGAAAAGCTTCTTCTGTGGTTCCAGACACGCCAACACATCATTTCATACGGTGTGTGTGCATGTGTGTGTGTGTGTGTGTGTGTGTGTGTTTTCTTTATTTGTATTTGTAGCTGAGGTGAGTGCAGTGTTAAAGCTGGACAACACAGTGGTGGGCCAGACTGCCTGGAGGACTGTAGGAGAGCAGTCGTGGGATCAGACCTTCACCGTGGAGCTTGAAAGGGTCAGAACGCGCACGCACACACACACACACACACTAGGGTTGGGTACCTTTGACATTTGAATCGATTCGGTACTAATTCCCGGTACCTAGGAATCGATACCGGTACTTAACGGTACCAATGTGATACTTTTGAGTGTTTATTATTTTAATTCTCTTTTATAATTAAATATATATTTTTCTCAATGTATAACAATATTTGATAAATATCACGATAAATAACATACAACTGTTTGTATTTTAACATCGTCCTTGTAGTTTTATAAGCTGATAATTAAACTGAAGCAAACATCTTTACTGTGAACTAAATTTACTGTGTATCTTCATTCCTTTTACCGTCTTTTTTCATTTGATTTTTCCTACTGGGAAGGTAGAATTTCCGAGGAGAAAGCGAACGCACCATTAGCTGATAACAATGGTAGCAATGGAAGCTAACATATCAAGCTAACGTTATCTTAAACAGTTTATTTAGCTGCTGGAGCAGATTAAAACGATGATGCCTCACACTTAGATCGTTGTCGCTGGTTTCATCTTCACCCGTCGCATTTAGTAAAGTGAAGCCAAACTTTAGAGCACGTTCATGTTCTTCTAGTCGGGAATTCGGAGTTCCGAGGAGAAAGCGAACGCACCATTAGTGAAACGGAAGCTAACATATCAAGCTAACGTTATCTTAAACATTTTATTTACCTACCGGAGCAGATTAAGATGAGGATGTCTCACTTAGATCGTTGTCGCTGGTTTCATCATCACCCAGTTACCCATCACATTTAGTGAAGTGGACCCAAGCTTTAGCGTGTTCTTTCTACCATGCTGCTCTGTTTACAACTGGCTCGCAGCGAGCGACGACATAACGCTCTTGCGCATGCGCAGCTGTCTTGGCAAGTTCTCGTTGTGAAGGACGGGTACCGAAACGAGGAACCGTTTGAAATGACGTGAATCTGTGCTCGGTCGGTACCTTAAAAAGTACCGAATTCGGTACCCATCCCTAATACACACACACACACACGCACACACACACACACACACACACAAACAAACTTGTTGAATAGACAGATGTAGTTTAATTTATACTTGTGTGTGTGTGTGTGTGTGTGTGTGTGTGTGCGCGTGCGCATGCGCGTGCGTGTGCGTGTGCGTGTGTGTGCGTGTGTGTGTGTGTGTTTTAGTCAAGAGAGCTGGAGATTGCCGTTTACTGGAAGGACTACCGCTCACTGTGTGCACTGAAGTACCTGAAGCTGGAAGAGTTCCTGGACAACCAAAAACACCGAGTTCAGCTGGATCTGGAGCCTCAGGGCCTGCTGCTGGCTGAGGTACATGTGGACTATACACACATACAGCTGTAACCCTAACCCTGTGCATTATATAGGTGAGGAACATTTGGCCTTAGAGTGAGAATGCAAGACATTAATTAACATTTGATGCTTATATGATGTTCATAAATGAGCTCATCCTCCAGCCCCCGAGCTGTCACATCCACCTGTGCTGCTTTAAGATGCCTGAAAGTCTCAGAGTGACATTGTAAATACGCGTCTGGTTTGCGTTTGTTGTTGATCTCTAGGTAACCTTCTTTAATCCGGTCATCGAGAGGGTTCCTCGCCTCCAGAGACAGAAGAAGATCTTTTCAAAGCAGCAAGGTGGGAAAATAGAGTAGATGTTCAAAGAATAAACCTGCTTCTGTTTTCTTTTGTTTTACAAAGAAATATCATTTTAAAAATGGCTACGTTATAACTGCATTTATCTTTAGTTATGGTGCCCTCTAGTGTTGAAATGATGTTTTATGAGAATGGCATTTATCTAAAAAATGTAATTTACCAGGAAGTATATTCTCTTATGTTTAACCCTTATACAACCCTTTAATTCTCTAACATTTTTGTCCTTTGAGCACAAAAAAATGCACTAAGGTCATATAAGGGTTAACTCGTTCACTGCCGGCCGTTACCTGAACAAAAAGCCCCCGACTGCCAGCGTTTTTTGAGCATTTTTACTTCTTACATCAAGAAGAATCTGTGCGTTTGTAGCTTTCTCCATTTTTTCACAGTCTGTTGTTAAAGCGAGCTGCAGAAGCTTTTCTGGTGTGCGCCTCGCTTTAGGCCAAGCGGCGTCCCAAAACCATCCTCTGATTCATGGATTGTGTGCTTCCTGAACACGTGACACACACACATGGGTGAAAAGCAACAGTAGAGCCACGATGTTTACCCCAAGGTGCACGCGCGTGTGTGTGTGTGTGTGTGTGCTTGTACCTCCAGGCAAGGCGTTCCTCCGAGCCCGTCAGATGAACGTGGACATCGGGACGTGGGTGAGGCTGCTCCGAAACGCCATTCCTACTGCCAACAACTCAGGAACTTACAGCCCCAATGCACCAAGCTTGAACCTTAACTCTGGGTGAGACACACACACACACACACACACACACACACACACACACACACACACACACACACACACACACACACACACACACAGGACATGCCATAAAGATGAACACACTGTTTGATTCCACTCAGACTATCAAACACAACGGCTTTCCTCAGACCTTCTCCTTGTGTTTCCTGGCAGAGAATAAAGCGCGTGGTGCTTCCTCGGCCATGTGTCTAACAGTCCTGTTGTGTTTTGTCCCGTGTCGCCCTGCTTGTGTTGTGTTGTGTGTGTGTGTGTGTGTGTGTGTGTGGGATTTTCAGGGAGATCTCGGTGGAGAAGTTGATTCTGGACAGCGACTCTCCAGTAAGAGGAGATTTGAAGCGAGACACGGACGCACACACTCCGGTGAGAGAGAGCCCGAGGGAGAGAGAAAACCTGGGAGATAGGGGAGGTGTGATGAGGGACTGTTTCCAGAAATTAACTTTTTTTTTTATTTGTTTTTAGAAGAAAGATAAAATCAAAAAGAAGTTAGACAAACTGGTCACCCTCTGGGTAGTGCGAAGCGCTAAATAAATAAATATAATCATCAACTAAACTCTAAATGAAGATTTTGATCTTAAACTTTTTTACTCTGGTAAAGAAAAGGCTGCAGTTACTCCCAAGGAGGTCTGGGCTCCTGGTTCTCCAGAACCCACAAAGAACACGGAGTCACCCTCAAAATGTGTCTCCTGTCCTCCATTTTGTGTCCTCTCACCTGTGTCTCTGCATGTCCTGTCCCTCGTGTCTCTTTCCCCACTCTCCCATAGGACCAACTCCAAGTCATCGAGCCCCTTTCCCCTCCTGATTCTCCTGCTCGAACCCCACCTGTCAGCAGGTACACACACACACACACACACACACACACACACACACCCTATGCATTTGTATCTACAGTTAAGGTCAGAATTATTAGCTCCCCTGATGAAATCACACACAACTCTTAATTTTCATGGAAATGTCCCAAATAAAAATCATTCATTCAATTCAAAAATACTTTATTAATGCCAGAGGGAACTTGATTGCTGTAGTAGCTCAGAATAATAATAATAATCAAGTCATCAAAGAGTTGTTGTATATGACAATGGCTGTTGGCAGGAAGGATCTCCAGTAGCGGTCAGTGTTGCAGCCAAACTGAAGAAGCCTCTGACTGAAGACACTCTTCCGTTGTCGGACAGTCTTGTGAAGAGAATGCTCAGGGTTGTCCATCATTTTCTTGATTCTCTGGAGAATCCTTCTCTGCATTATCTCCTCCAGCGGTTCCAAAACTGCCGAAACTCTGGCGGAGTCCTTGAAAGGGCTTGGAGTTCCTCCATCTTGTTGCCCAGTGATCTCACATTGCCCGTTATGATCGATGGAGGAGATGGTTTGAATTTCTTCTTTCTCCGTCTCCGTTTGGCTCCCGCTCTGCACCCACGCTTCTTGCGTTTTAGCTCATGTGGGATTTGTGGCTTCAGCTGAGGTATTATTTCAGCCTTTCCAATGTTAATCAGCTGCTCCCGACTGTAAACCAGCTTGTTGCCATGGTTACGCATCATAACAAACGCTCAAAAAGTGAAAAAAGTGAAAGAATAGCAGTAAAAATCCTCCAGGCTTCACAGCACCAGAAACAGAAAAGTACTTATATCGCTTCAAAGACAACTTATCCACAAAGTCTTATCAGTTTATTTTACTGATGTGCTGAACTGTAACAAGAGAACGACGGGGCCAAACTCGTCATCCCTCCTGCTCTCTCTTAACTGCCAAGACAAATGTGACAAACCCTCACACCACTCCTGATTAATCAGTCCGGATCAAACCTCACAGCAGAAGCTCTGGTTAGCAGGTCAGAGGCTCCTGAACTCTTGGACTAGTCTGACACGTCCGGTAAGAAGCCAGTTCATCAGACCACTAAAGTAACACGAGGGTGGAGGCTAGACTTCCATCTTCAACTGTTTCGTGGTGTTAACAGCTGCAGGATGCGTCGTTGCAAAGCAAACCCAGGCGTGGCGGTAGGCGCCAAACTTTTCAGAAACTTCGGCAAGAAGAAGAATCAGAGACGCCAACGAGGTGCTCAGCTGGCCTCTACTTGGAGAAATGGTGGCCCGGGGGTTAGGAGTTCACCTGTAACCAGTGGGTTGCAAACCCAGGCTGTGTTAGCGTCTGTCATTGTGCTCTTTGGCAGGACGCTTCACCCTGCCTGCCTTTAGGTGGTGATCAGATGGACCAGTGGCTTCTTTGTACGGCAGCCTCACTGCTGTCAATGTTCTCCAGGGCTGCTGTGGCTAAGATGCAACTCATCTCCACCAGCGTGTGAACGAGTGACTGTAGTGTAACGCACTGTGGAGTCCTCTGACTGCTATACAAGTGCAGGTCATTTAGTATTCATCATCTGAAGTTGATCCGTAAAGGAAGACCGTTGTGGGAGCTCTTCATCGTGGACGACGTCAAGGTCACCATAAACTCTTTATTACTGAAACTACAGCACGTCAGCGCCCAACCAGAGTTTGACTGTGGAAATTACAAACATGTTCTTTGGTCTGAAAAGATTAAACTTGAGCTCTTAGAGTACAGGGATGCTGTTTTTGTTTCTGCGAAGAAACCCTGAAAACACAGTCCTCCCTGTTGAGCACGGTGGTAGGAGCATCATGTTGTGGGGCTGCTTTGCAGCGTCAGGCACTGGAACTGCATTTGTGTTCATGGGATCCTGAAATGTAGAGCAGTATGTTGGTATTTTGAAGAACTGTAAAGAAGTCTGCTTGAGGTCTTGCTTTAGACCACCGTTGGGTCCTTCAGCAGGATAATTACCCAAAGTACTGCATACATCTAAGTTGGTGACAAACCTTTTGAGGGACATGAAATCGGGATCCTGGAGTGGCGTACTCAAACTTTGAGTTGTGGGTGGAGCAGCCTCGGCGGTCCGAGTGCATCTGCTTTTATGGAGTTACTAAATGACACAAGGACACAGTTTAGATGCCGTTGTGAGCTGGTTCTGTGTCCTGCGGAGGTAACAGGCTGTTGCTGATGCTTAAATCTCTTCCTTTTGCTGTTTTTACAAACTCAAGATGTCAGTTCATTCTTTGATATATTTCACAGAGCGATTACGACTCTGTCATCTGATTGGAGCATAAGATTAATCTCCGCTTTATTTGTAATATCCACCTTCCATCAGACAGAAGAAAGGCCCTCTGTCCCTTCAGGACTTCCGACTGATTGCTGTGTTGGGACGTGGACACTTTGGGAAGGTACATTTCCTCTTTTTCCTCTTATTTATTTGACAGCCGTTAGCTCAGTGCCATACTCGACCTTAACTTTACATGAAAACTCCACAAAAGATTTAAGGTTTGATGTTTATGCAATCAGCTTGTTCAGGAGCTGTCTGAATTTTCTTCTGAGGAATCCAAGTTTAAAAACACGCTCAAACGGATGGGTACTGAATTCGGTACTTTTTAAGGCACCGACCGAATTTCACAGTACCGACCGAGCACCGATTCACGTCATTTCAAACGGTTCCTCGTTTCGGTACCCGTCCTTCATAACGAGAACTTGCCTAGACAGCTGCGCATGCGCAAGAGCGTTATGTCATCGCTCGCTGCGAACCAGTTGTAAACAGAGCAGCATGGTAGAAAGAACGCACGCTAAAGCTTGGGTCCACTTCACTAAATGTGATGGGTAACTGGGTGATGATGAAACCAGCGACAACGATCTAAGTGAGACATCTTCATCTTAATCTGCTCCGGTAGGTAAATAAAATGTTTAAGATAACGTTAGCTTGAAATGTTAGCTTCCGTTCCGCTAATGGTGCGTTTGCTTTCTCCTCGGAACTCCGATTTTACGACTAGAAGAACATGAACGCGCTCTAAAGTTTGGCTTCACTTTACTAAATGCGACGGGTGATTGGGTGAAGATGAAACCAGTGACAACGATCTAAGTGTGAGGCATCATCGTTTTAATCTGCTCCAGCAGTTAAATAAACTATTTAAGATAACGTTAGCTTGGTATGTTAGCTTCCATTGCCACCGTTGTTATCAGCTAATGGTGCGTTCGCTTTCTCCTCGGAAATTCTAACTTCCCAGAAGGAAAAATCAAATGAAAAAGGACGGCAAAAGGAATGAAGACACAGTAAATTTAGTTCACAGTAAAGATGTTTGCTTCAGTTTAATTATCAGCTTATAAAACTACAAGGACCATGTTAAAATACAAACAGTTGTATGTTATTTATTGTGATATTTATCAAATATTGTTATACATTGAGAAAAACATATATTTAATTATAAAAGAGAATTAAAGTATTAAACACTCAAAAGTATCGAAAACTGGTACCGGTATCAAGCCCTAGGTACCGGGAATTAGTACCGAATCTATTCAGCCTCCCTGGAAAGGTCTACTCCAAGGTACTGGAGAGGAGGGTCCGATCGATAGTTGAATCTCAGATAGAGGAGGAGCAATGTGGTTTTCGTCCTGACCGTGGAACTGTGGACCAGCTCTATACCCTTGCAAGGGTGATGGAGGGGGCATGGGAGTTTGCCCAACCAATCCACATGTGCTTTGTGGATTTGGAGAAGGCTTATGACAGGGGCATCCTGTGGGGGACGCTCCAGGAGTATGGGGTGGGTGGCTTTCTGTTAAGGGCCATTCAGTCCCTTTACCAGAGGAGCGTGAGTTTGGTCCGCATAGCCGGTAGTAAGTCGGACCTGTTCCCAGTGAGGGTTGGACTCCGCCAGGGCTGCCCTTTGTCACCGGTTCTGTTCATTACCTTTATGGACAGAATTTCTAGACGCAGCCGTGGTGTGGAGTGTGTCGAGTTTGGTGGCAGGAGAATCTCGTCTCTGCTTTTTGCGGATGATGTGGTCCTCCTAGCTTCATCCAGCTCTGACCTTCAGCTCTTGCTGGGTAGGTTCGCGGCCGAATGTGAAGCGGCTGGGATGAGGATCAGCACCTCCAAATCTGAGACCATGGTTCTCGACCGGAAAAGGGTGGCTTGCCTCCTCCGGGTCGGGGGAGAGGTCCTACCTCAAGTGGAGGAGTTTAAGTATCTCGGGGTCTTGTTCACGAGTGAGGGTAGGAGGGATCGGGAGATCGACAGGCGGATTGGTTTGGCGTCTGCAGTGATGCGGACGCTGAGCCGATCTGTCGTGGGGAAGAGGGAGCTGAGCCAGAAAGCCAGGCTCTCGATTTACCGGTCGATCTACGTCCCAATCCTCACCTATGGTCATGAGCTTTGGGTAATGACCGAAAGAACGAGATCGCGGATACAAGCGGCCGAAATGAGTTTCCTCCGTAGGGTGGCCGGGCCCAGCCTTAGAGATAGGGTGAGGAGCTCGGACATTCGGGAGGGACTCGGAGTAGAACCGCTGCTCCTCCGGATCGAAAGGAGCCAGTTGAGGTGGTTTGGGCATCTGGTCAGGATGCCTCCTGGACGCCTCCCTGGGGAGGTGTTTCGGGCATGTCCTGCCGGCAGAAGGCCCCCGGGTCGACCCAGGACACATTGGAGAGGTTACATCTCCAATCTGGTCCGGGAACGCCTTGGGGTCCTGCCGGAGGAGCTGGTGGACAAGGCCGGGGAGAGGACGGCCTGGAGCTCCCTAATTGGGATGCTGCCCCCGCGACCCGGACCCGGATAAGCGGAGGAAGACGAAGACGAAGACGAAGATCTATTCAAATGTCAAAGGTACCCATCCATAAACAGATGTGATCCTTTGTTTTTCCCAAAGTAGTTTTTCAGAGCCTTGTTTAAAAAAAACTTCCTATACAGCTACACGTTGATTCGACTTGAGTAGAGTCTTTCAAACACCAACAGCGAAGGAAAAGAAGAAAGAATCTGTGGCTTTCAGCAGTAGAAACCTTTCATCTGTTACACCCAAGCCTTCATTTGTCCTTTCTCATACTGAAACAAAGTGTTTCTGTTTCTGCAGGTGTTGTTGTCGGAGTACAAGAAGACCGGTACGATGTTCGCCATCAAAGCTCTGAAGAAAGGAGACATTGTTGCTCGGGATGAGGTGGAAAGGTTTGTGCTGACGTGGAAAGAGGCCTGACTGAACGTCTCGGTGACCTTCCCTTTTCTCCGCTCATGCTACGTTGTTTTTTCCCCTCAGCCTGATGTGCGAAAAACACATCTTTGAGATAGTGAACATGTCGCACCATCCCTTCCTGGTCAACCTGTTTGCGTGCTTCCAGACCCCAGAGCACGTGTGCTTCGTTATGGAGTACACGGCAGGAGGCGACTTGATGATGCACATCCACACGGATGTCTTCACAGAGCCACGAGCTATGTATGTAGCATGTGTGTGTGTGTGTGCGTGTGTGTGTGTGTGTGTGCGCGCGAGAAAGCATAATAAAATGTCTCCTGCACATACATGCACACACCCTTTGGCTGCAGGATTTGAACCTGCAGCCTTCTTGCTTTGGGGCAAGCAGTGCTACCAGCTGTTCCACCATTCAGACCCCTACTGTAAATACAATATTTAATGCTTCGATCTGCTAAATAAGATGGCTTCTAAACTGGGGGGTGGGGAATCTTGGTCTCTTTAATAGAGTTGGGCATTGAGCATCAATTGGAACCGGGACTAACTGTCAGTTTGTCAAAGTTGTTTTATTGTCATTTCTACCACGTGTGCAAGACATACAGAGAAACGAGATTGAGTTTCAGTACACACAATTCAGAGATCAGACATACATGGGCCAGACACATGACAAGAGTTGGTGACTGCGGTCATTTGCAACAAGAGTCGCGCTACCTTAATAGATGAAAAGGGAATTACATGAGGATAGGTTGGGGGAGGGAAAAAAGGCATACCAGAGTTACTCCCGACAGGGCGTAGCTGTACTATGCAAAAAAAACACCTCAAACATATAAGCACGAACATCAACATTCACAACATGAGACTCCGATAGGGAGGCGGCCGGGGGGGGGGGGGGGGGGGGGGATCCTGTTTTTCCAGGGCCAGCAGCCATTTGTAGCGCTCAGCCAGCTGTGTCTGCAGGAGGAGGGAGAAGCGCAGAGCACATTGAGTTCCCGCAGATTTATGGCCTCGCTATGCAGAAGTCCACAATGTGAAGGGGGTGGGGGGTGGACGGGTTTCCACAGCATCTGTCTGCATTCCTTCCTTCGTGGGGGTTGTTGTTGGCAGTTCGAGGCTGCCTTGGCGTCAGATTAGGATAACAAGACTGTGTTTGGGTCAGGCAGAGATAATTTTCCCCTCTGCCTTCAGTCTGTAACTGGTCATTCCAGTCCTCCAGTGAAGCCAGTTCGGGTTATTAAACATCTCCACACCGTCCGGTGACCCTCTCCGAGATGACATCCATTTTGCGCACTAACACCGGTAACATAGCTAAGACATTGTCCAGCTTAGGGTTCACCTCGAGTAACGTCCCAGTCTGTGAGGTCTCCACCCGGACGGTGCTGTCCAAGGGTGCAGGTCGCCCTCCAATCGCTCCCGTCTTCCCAATTTTCCGGAAAACCGGATATCCTCCCACTCCAATCAGAAGAAATCCAGTGATCATCAGGCCAAATATCCACACACCTTCGACGTCCTCAATGGACAACTGAGAGAGGCATACGATCCTCCATTCTTTCCAGGAATCGAGCGCATATCCCGCTGCGTGTGTCCCATGAGGGCAAGTGGGAGCCCCCTCCTCCGTTCTCATCGTAGAAAAAATCTTATCAATCGCGTTGAATGACCAATTAATTAAATCCATTTCTGAAAAATAGGGATTTCCAGAAGAAATGCAGAGAAGCGGTCTGTGGGCAGACAGGACAAAAGAGCCTTGGGGGAAAAAAGATAAGGGAGCAAAAGCAGAAGCGTCTACTCTGTGAGCGCCAGGAGAAGTTCAAGTTTTTTATTTCGATTCCCAGTTCCGATTCCCAGTATGCCTGTCCGTCTTTCTTGAAAACATGTTTCCGTTCTAAATGAAGGTGATGTTGTTCATAGAATTAAAATTCATGTTAAAGTTGTAATTATTTCATCAAGTAAGACCCGTGGTTAGCTGGCTCATTTCAAACATGTCATGTTTTTGGATCCTGCCTCTTGAAAGAATCAGAATCTGCAATCGATAGGAATCAGAATCAAAACGAGGAATTAGAATTAGAATAGTTGAAATTCAAGCATACCTAACCCTACTCTTGAGGGCGACTGTCTTGCATGTTTTTATTGTTTCCCTGCTCTGACTCACCTAATGTGATCAGCAAATGATTAACATGTTTCTGCAGAGCTTAATGAGCTGCTGAATAGGTGATTCAGTCCCTGAATCAGGAGTGTTGGAGCAGAAAAACAACAACTTGTAGGATGCCAGCCCCTGAGAACCAGGGTTCCCCATCCCTGTTTTAATTACAAACTCGGTCACAGAACCCTCACCCCTCCTGTTGGCTGTCATCCCCCTGATACCAGAACCCACATTGCCAGAGGAAACGAGTACGCGCTAAACAACAGTCGCGGTTTTCTAGGTCCAAACATCTTCTGTTGTCCGTGACTTCAAGTGGTGTTTTTCTTTTTGGGACTCCTGAAGTTTAAGTGGTAGCAGCCGGCTGTTTCTCCTCCTCTGATGTTGTTGAGCGAAGAACCTCTTACACCAGTGTTGTTCTGTTGCTAAATACGTGAGTGGAGGACCCAGGGAAGTGCGGTGGTTGCTTTCGGACCGAGTCGTGTTATTGGTGGAGGTTTTTAGACTAATGTTTTTTTCTTTAATTTCCACAATCTATTCATAGCTATAGAAGAAGAAGAAGAAAATATCATGTCTATAGCGTCTCTCAAGATAAAAATCACGAGGCGCTTCACAAAAACAAAAAATGTAAAAATATAAAAAAGAATTTAGAAAATGATTAAAAATGTATTAAAATGATTAAAAAATAGACAATCATGATTAAAAATGTTAAGAAAGAGAGAGAGTGAACAGGAAAGAGGGAAACCAGTGGATCCTGAGGAAGGTGGAATAGGTGGGGAGAGCAGAATAAAGAGAGAGAGGTGAAGAAGGTCATACAAAAGCCAGCTTGAACAAGTGAGTCTTCAGCTGCTTTTTAAAGGAGACCACTGAGTCCACTGATCTCAGGCTCAGGGGGAGAGAGGTCCAGAGTCTGGGGGCCACAGCAGCAGATGATCTGTACTATGTTAGAACATTGTTAAGAGGCATGAAAATGTCATGAGGTGAGGGTGGAGATGGCAGACCATGTGTGGTGGAGGGTTCAGGAGGCAGAAGAGCAGGCACGGATGAAAAAATAAAAATGGATTTAATGGTAGCAGCACAAGCACGAACACAACGAAGACAACGCAATGATCCGACGACAGGAACAAAGAGGGAGGTATAAAAACACAGAACAATCAGGGAACACATGGGCAGGTTAACGAGGGGCAGGTGAGAACAATAAGGCCAATTACAGAAGGAGAGACACAGTCAGGGAGGCCGGGGCGAATCATGACAGAAAAACATTTTTAGCAAGCTTGTTTAGCAGATTTGCCGTTGTAGCCATAAACATCAGACAGAGGAACAGAAGGTGTCCAGGATGAGTCTTTGGCTACTTGAAAACACAACGTCCTCCTTTAGAATGGGTTAGCGTAGATGTCTACTTTAGCCTTAGAAGGGTTTATGTGGACACAAAAAAAGGAACATTAAAAATGAAACATTTTTAAAATCCAAAATGAAATAATCTGTTGCAGTGGTTCATTGTGTACGTCTGCATTTAAAATCTCAGCCGACAGCCGGTTTGATTTGCTTCGTGTGTTCTGTGAGCGCTGCCGTCTGAGTGGAGGTGTTTGTGTTGCTCTGACTTCAGGTTCTACGCTGCCTGCGTGGTTCTTGGACTTCAGTTTCTTCATGACCACAAGATTGTGTATCGGTGAGTGACAACACACCTGTACTCATGCCTCTCACACCTTCAACTAGTTCTGGTCTAAAACTTTTAGCCCCTACATTATTTACAGTGAGAAAGACCTGGGACTCTAAATATCCCTGGTGGGACAGAGAAAAAGCTAAAGAACAGCTTCAACTCATATTGTTCTCATTATATTCCCTCGTTGCTGCCATTTTTAACTTTTACTGCAGTTGTAACAGCAATCTGTTAGGATTTCTTTTCAGTGTTCTTTGATTTCCGAACATTGTATTTTTGCCACCCAAAGCTTAGAAAATTGTATTTATTTTTAAACCAGATCTGAGTCGTGCAAGTTCTCTGCCACGTTCACGGTGCTTCAGGACACTTTCTGTCAAATCAAATCTTTCCTTTTGATTTTTAGTCGATCTTAAATGCAATAAGTTGAATATGTTCATTATCTGCTGCATCATCTCTGCTCCACAGAGACCTGAAGCTCGACAACCTGCTGCTAGGAACAGACGGCTATGTGAAGATCGCTGACTTTGGGCTGTGTAAAGAAGGTGGATGTTTGAGTTTGTGGTGTCGAGTCTTTTCTGTGTAAATGTTGCTGATTCTGTCACTGAGACTTGAGACAGAATCACATTTCATAACTAAAAAAGGATTCATAAGAGGGTGGAGATATCAATCGTTAGTGAGTGCTGGAGTTTTGTGATTTACGTTTAAAACTCAAATGTCGTAAAGGTCCTGCAGGATTTTTGCAAAAGCTCACAAACGGCTTGATCTGCACGCAGGAATGGGTTATGGGGATCGGACCAGCACGTTCTGTGGGACTCCGGAGTTTCTGGCTCCAGAGGTGCTCACCGATACATCCTACACCAGAGCAGTGGACTGGTGGGGACTGGGGGTCCTGATCTATGAAATGTTGGTGGGAGAGGTGAGAACCAACATGCAGAGTTCATACATGATCCTAGCATGATGATGTCATTTAAAACACAGCCGGGGGGGGGGGGGGGGGGGCTTGTGTTGTTAGTGGGACGATTTATATTCATGTTGATGATCTGTGTGTGTGTGTGTGTGTGTGTGTGTGTGTGTGTGTGTGTGTGTGTGTGTGTGTGCACGTGTGTGTGTGTGTATGTATGTGTGTGTGTGTGTGTGCGCGTGTGTGTATGTGTGTGCGCGCATGTGTGTGTGTGTGTGTGTGTGTGTGTGTGTGTGTGTGTGTGTGTGTGTGTGTGTGTGTGTGTGCACGTGTGTGTGTGTATGTATGTGTGTGTGTGTGTGTGCGCGTGTGTGTATGTGTGTGCGCGCATGTGTGTGTGTGCATGTGTGGGTGTGCGTGTGTGCATGTGTGTGCGCATGTGTGTGTGTGCATGTGTGTGTGCATGTGTGGGTTTGCGTGTGTGCATGTGTGCGCGTGTGTGCATGTGTGTGCTCATGTGTGTGTGTGCATGTTTGTGTGCGTGTGTGCATGTTTGTGTGCGTGTGTGCATGTGTGGGTGCACGTGTGTGCATGTGTGGGTGCGCGTGTGTGCATGTGTGGGTGCGCGTGTGTGCGCGCGTGTGTGCATGTGTGTGCACGCGTGTGCGCGCGTGTGTGCATGTGTGTGCGCGCATGTGTGCATGTGTGCGTGTGTGTGCATGTGTGTGTGTGCATATGTGTGTGTGTGCGTGTGCATGTGTGTGTGTGCATATGTGTGTGTGTGCGTGTGCGCATGTGTGTGTGCGCATATATGTGTGTGTGTGCGTGCGTGTGTGCGCATGTGTGTGTGTGCATGTGTGGGTGTGCGTGTGTGTGCGTGCATATGTGTGTGCGTGTGTGCATGTGTGGGTGTGCGTGTGTGTGCGTGCATATGTGTGTGCGTGTGTGCATGTGTGGGTGTGCATGTGTGTGCGCGCATATGTGTGTGCGTGTGTGTATGTGTGTGCGCGCGTGTGTGCATGTGTGCGTGTGCATGTGTGTGTGTGCATATGTGTGTGTGTGCGTGTGCGCATGTGTGTGCGCACATATGTGTGTGTGTGCGTGTGTGTGTGTGTGTGCACGCTTGTGTGTGTGTGCGCGCGCGCGCGTGTGTGCAGTCTCCTTTCCCAGGTGACGATGAAGAGGAGGTGTTTGACAGCATTGTGAATGATGAGGTCCGCTACCCACGCTTCCTCTCCACTGAGGCCATCGCCATCATGAGAAGAGTGAGAACATTCCTGCATGTTTTGCGTCTGTCCAGCAGACAGACCCGCCCTCCACAACACAGCTGGTAAAACACACAGCCTGAGTTATTCTCCTTGTGTCCCTGCAGCTGTTACGGAGGAATCCCGAGAGAAGGTTGGGATCTGGTGAGAAGGATGCAGAGGAGGTGAAGAAGCAGCCGTTTTTCAGAGTGAGTGCATCCGCTCAGCTCAACACCTCAGCCCCGTGTGGTCCGATTCCACACATTCTGTTTATTTAAATGGCGTTCTCGTCCCTCCAGAACGTGGACTGGGAGGCGTTGCTACAAAAGAAGGTGCCCCCTCCCTTCGTCCCCTCTGTTCGCGGTAGAGAAGACGTCAGTAACTTTGATGAAGAGTTCACCACTGAGCCTCCTGCACTCACGCCTCCACGTGAGCCTCGTGCGCTTTCCCGTAAAGACCAGGACAGCTTTCGGGACTTTGACTACGTCTCTGACCTCTGCTAGTGGCCTCGAAGCCAACGGACTTTGGTTTAGTTGTGTCTGGAGCGGACCGATGGCCCGAGTGACCCGTCTGCTGGTAACTCCACTGTGAATGAGACTGAAGAGAGCCAGTCTGCTTGGTGTGGCTGCTGTTGATCATAGAAGACTCAAAAGATGAAAACAAAGAGAGCTGTTGACGCTCTTTCATGAGGAAGGATAAACATGGACACTTCTCCAGTCGCTGGAGACGATGAATAATGGAACTTGAACTGTTTAGCCTTTTATTCAGCATCCTCCCGTCCTGTGAGCGTTGCCTGCGCAGCTCTGGGAGGAGTGTGTGCACGTGTGCGTTGATTGTTTCTCAGTGGCCTCTCATACCAATGCCTTACATTTCTATGAGGTGTTTTCCAAAAAAATAACATCTTTTTTTAATCTGTGGCCCTTTTATTAAGAGCATGCTGCTGGAAACCAGAGCTTAGAGCATGACTCTTCCATATCGTGTAAAAACACTGCAGTGGGTCGTACCCGTGATGTCCGCCAACTACTCTTTAGAACTTTGCTGCTTAGGTTTTGCATCAGGAATTAGTTTAATATTTAATGAATCTCTTGTTTTTACTAGGTTTTAAATAAGGATGTAGCAGTGGAACACAAAGCTACTGCAGACATGTCACTGAAACAAGAAATCAGAACACTAAACTGTGACGTGGCGGTTTCGTCGGCGTGGGTTTGAAAAGCATTCAGTCGGAGTTTTGTGACCATGAACGAACGTCATTTCCCAACAAGACAATTAAATCTTGAAATTCACTGACTGGTTGTAGTGTTTTTGTTTTGTTCTGCAGGATTTGGTTTCCTGTTTCTAAAGAAACTCTGCAGCTGTACGAGAGAAAAACCAACACCATTAGGCCCTTGGTGCTTCTCCACAGGTCCTTCTAAACCCATGGCAGCTCCTTCCTGTCCCTCCGTTGGTGTGCTGGTCTAGTCAGGTGGTTGATCAGCCTGAGAGGCTGAGGGACGTGTCGATCTACAGGAGCCTCTTCAAGAGCATGGTGGCCTCAAATGTTGCACACTCCGAGTCCTGAACCATACCTCATCTCAGGATCTGTAGCCTTCAGCCAGTTTCGCCTCACTAAGAATGAATTTCAAACCTTGCAGCTGAAAATTGAGACTTGTTTTTCTTAACTGAGCAAGTTTAGTGTAGTAAAAATGCTTAATTCTATTTATGACCTTCATAAATTTCCATAATACTTTTTCACGTAAATCTAGCATACCCTTCAGTCAACAAGTCAGTGTTTGTCATTTAAATGTGTGGATTGTTGGTAAAGAAACAAAACTTCATAGGATGACGTAATAAATAAATGCAAATATGAAATATTTATATTTACGCTTTTAATTGTTTTTCGCGCTTGAGTCGTCAGTGAAAGATTGTTGGGGATAAACATGAGCGCCTTACCTGCGTATAAAATATAATAAGCCCCAATTATTTGGAATCGTATCTTGTCCAAGGAAGAACCCGCCTTTCTCGCCTCTGATTGGCTAGAAGGGCTCTAATACGATTGGCTGGTTCATTCAGCAGCAAACCAATAAAGCTGTTTTGTGGAGTTTTGTAAAGACTAAAGAGAATGTGAACTTGGCGCTATGAGAATTACTCTGTCCGGTTTAGCAAAATATTTATGTTTCTTTTATTAATAATCTGAAATACGTAAAATGTGAGCGTTTAACAAATCTTGTTGCATTTATCACGCTGTTGGACTAACTTTGTCGCTTGGCTTTCAAGCATTAGAGTAAATAGGATAAACATGTGTGCCTTACCTGGGTATAAATATAACAAAACTGTCGTTTTGAATCATAAACACCCCAAAAATGGCAAAAACAAAAAAAAGATAATTTCCCTTGCCAAAAATTTATTACAGTGTCCTGGTCACCTGTAAAGGGCTAGATTTACCTAAATATTACTTTATTATCTCTTGATGTTATTAGTCTCATCAAAGGATGCTGGGTCTCTTCCACATAAATACCCCAAAAAAGGCAAAAAAAAAAAAAAAAAAAAAAAAAGATAATTTCCCTTGCCAAAAAATTGTGACCAGGACACTGTAATCAATTTTTTGGCAAGGGAAATTATCTTTTTTTTGTTGCCATTTTTTGGGTGTTTATGATGATACAGTAGGCAGTATGAGTACAGTAACATCAACAGATAATACATAAAACCCTTATTTGGTCAATTTTAGCCTCCATGAAAATCTGAGCGAATCAATCACTTTTTGGCAAGTAAAATGCCATTTTAGTTGTCTACAATTAAATCATCAATAAAGAATTTTAAGATATTTTGAGGCGTTTCTTATAGGTAAACAGGAGGGTGTAGGCAATATTTGGCAAGTGACAATCTTAATTTTATGTGCTGAAGTGCTTTTATCTTGTTACTTTTAAATAGAGCAAAGTAATGTATAGATAGTAAACTACACAGTGTCATTAAAGCCGAAGCTTGATCAGTTTAAATACTATTTTTCTAGTAAAAAATGTGCCCCAAACTAGTTAACTGTGGCTCCATGTCAAGTGGACTAAAGAAAGGAAGGGGAGGAAATTAAATCGCTGGAGAATTGTTTATTTCCATTTATACAACGTTTACATTCAATACAGGGCGCCATTTTACATTGTTTATTTATTAGTATCAAGGCTGTAACATAAAGATAGCCAGTTCTTACCACAACCCATCATTCAATCGCAAATATTGCAAAAAGGATTAATATATCCTCATTGTGAACGTTTAAGACAAATAGCAACACTTAGAACAACTTCCAAACTGGAAAAACTAATATCCGCGATAAACATCTGTTTAAGTACCGGAAGAGGTTATCTCTGCTTCCTGAATGTCCATATTGCTAGATATGCAGAGTTTTAGGGCGAAATCCTGGGGAATTTCGTCTAGAAATGCAATTACCCTAACCGTGCGCGATCCCGCGGTGGCTAATCATTTTTTGGCAGCCAGTCGATTTATGGCACAACACCTGTAGCCCTAACCAGCTGCGATCGACCCCTCCCAACGTCACCTGAGTACCGCGTCCAGCAGCTCGAAACAGACACTCCCTCTGTCAGTATGAAACAGCAACCTGATGTTTTTAAAAGCTGTGCTATGTTCTGTGGTTTCATAGGCAGCGTTCGTGTGGCTTTTCTAGGATTTATAAATTATAGCAGTCTGACCGCGACCTCTGGTGGTCAGTCAACTCAATTACAGTTTATTTTGTTCTTTTTTCCACCTACGACAATCCACGTGAATAAGCCCTTACTCTTCGGGTAATTAAAAGAGGGCAAACAGCTGTTAGGCGTTTTATTCAACCGATATAGTAAAACAAGAAGGTTTGTTGATAATGGACCAGACAGATCGTGTGTGTGCTGTTGAAGAGTGCTGAGAAGTTGGTCACGTGACTAAAACCAACGAATACCATAAACATTCAGTGTAACACAACGAGTTAGGTGTTATTGTTTATCACGTGTGCAGTGCTAGAGCCACGGTGTTTTCATAGCGTTTCTGAGTTAAAAACACATTTATCCTCAACGTTTTAGTCGGCGCTTCCGCTTGGTCCGCCCACATCTCCCATAATGCAGCTGGGTCCTTTGTTGCTCATTCTTCTCATTGTTTTTTTTTTTTACTGTTTTGTCTGGGAGTCGAAGTGCGTAGGTTCGATTCCCGCTCAGTGCGAATGCAAAAGTGTAAATGTCTGCGAAATCTGCATAATAAGTAATAATAAGTATTTTAAGTTCATTTTTATTACAAATAAAAAGTATAAAAGATAGTACTTCTCACGTCTCAGGTCTCGGAGCGGAGCGACAGGCTGTGACAATCCAGGTCTCTGATTCGTCAGCAAAAATGTCAGTCTAAAGAAATGGAACAAATACGGCCATTTTGACCCCGTTGCTCATTCTTCTCGGTGTTTTTTTAACTGTTTTATCCGGGAGTCGAAGTGCGTAGGTTCGATTCCCGCTCAGTGCGAATATAAAAGTGGAAATGTTTGCGAAATCTGATAATAACACTAATTATTATGTAAATACATTTCCACAATTACCACTTTAAATTTAATTATAATTGTGATGAAGAACCACTGAGCTGTGAAATATATTTGTGATAATAGACATGTAAAATTATAGAATATATATGAAAAAATGCATCTGTGTTGAAATATATTTGTGATGTTATAAAACAAATGTGTGTGTCCAAGATCATAAAAACATTCAAAGATTTAAAGTGTTTTCGTTTATATATATGTGTGTGTATGTATATATATATATGTGTGTGTGTATATATTTATGTATGTATATATGTGTATATATACATATATGTGTATATATACATATATATATATACACATATACACGTATATATATATATATATATATATATATATATACATAC